CAGGATGAAACAGGATAGCAGCACCTTCCCCGAAGTAATACCGCGTAGGCACAATACAAAGGCAACAAGTGACCTACAGGGTAGCAAGTCAGGATTAGGGTTCTGAAGTCACATGCAGGCCAGTGCAGAGGAAAGAGAATGGGTGAAGACTGCATCCCAATTCTGCTCCATTCTACCTATGAGACCCTGATTAAGTCAGTCCTTATGCCCACCTGCTTCTTTGCGGAGGAGAAAATAAGCGAGATCATGAATAGAAAACCATTTGTAAACTGGCAAGTGTTAAACAAATATGAAAATGCTAGTGGCAGTACAAACAAAATTTCTATGGTAAACTAAGAAACTTGAGACTGTGAACACAAGTAATTTAGAGCACTGGCATGGAGGCAGGGCAAACACCAAAGACCTCTTAATCCGCTTCCCATCTCCCCGGAGCCCCAGAGGGGAGAACTACAGGTTCAGGGGAGCATCCCGCTCTTACAGAGACGGCCAGACGTCTGAGCTCCTGACCACAGAGGGGACTTGTCAAAGCATGACTCAGGACTATCTCCAAGGTTAAGATGAATCAAATAAATATGCGTATTCCATCTTAAATAGCCTCCAGATACCACAATCTCTAAGACACACTGAGGGACTCATAGAAAGATCCACCTTAGGATTCCTTTCCGTAGTGATGCTTTGGGTTAAACATGACTTACGGAAATTCAAATCACACAAACCTAAGGCATGGCATCTGTCCTGACCACCCTACCCTTACTAGCTAGGGTACTACCCAAAATGAGGGTGAGTGTGGACTGAGGGTTCCCAACCAGCAAGCTCTCTCTCCCTACCAACCCCGTGGGTAAAGATTGTCCTTTTCCTAGAATCTAGGACCTAGATACACCTGGTTCCTGCGAAGACACCAGGCCTGTGCTCAGCACTGAACCCCAGCTTCCCTCCTCTCCCGGAGCCATGCGCGCACTCGGCCCTGGTGACAGCGAGAAGATGCACGTGCCCGGGGGAGAAGGTCAGAGGCGCTCAGGCGGCCCCGAACATCCTGAGCCAAACCAGGTCACCCCGGTCTCTTTGCGCCCAAACCTCATCCACCACCACGTCCTGAAGCTGGGTTTATGAACTTGGTCTAGAACTGCTGTACTTGAACAGAAACTTGTTAACTTCAGCAGAATATCCGAACGGGATCTGTTTCATTTCTCCCGTCCACCCCTGGGACAGCCTCCGCCGGCGCGGCAGGTGCGCGGGGCTCCCCACGGCCACGGCCACCTCTCACCCCGACCTGGAGCGACACCAGGGCTGACACACACCTGGGTGTCAGCAGCTCGGCCGCAGGCAGTGCCTCTGGGGCAGAAACTCCCGAGGCGGGGCTCGGAACCCCTCCCGCAGGCTTTAAATTAGGGCAAACGGGACTAGGCAGCAGCACCCCCAAAACAATCCTTGTCGAGCACCCCGAGGTGCCCGGCCGGGCGGCGCCCCGCAGACCAAGGACCCACCCCACCCGCGGCCCGGG